CTGTTGGCACGTATTGTAACCAGTCACATACTTCAGGATTTCCCTCTACATTCTAGGCCACCAGTAGTTCTGAGTAATGAGTTCCTGTGTTTTGTGTTGGCCTGGATGTCCTACAGTCAGATTGTTGTGATGAGCTCAGACAATGTCCTCCTACAGTTTCCAATCCTTCAGAACGTACAGTCAGCCTTCCTAGTAAACCTGTCCATCCTCATCCTCCTCCCAATCCCTAGCCTGTTTCTCCAGTTGCTTCACTATGACCCAGTCCTGTGTGTGTCTTGGAGCTCACTGTATGTGAGTGATGAAGTCAACATCCTTGGATTCGAGTCAGATCTCTCAGATTGTCTCAGACACAAAACAGGAATTGTCTAGGAGAACAAGATTTTTGTTATCATTCTCCCCCCTTTCATGACCTGCTTGTCTTGAGAGTAAATCAGCTTTCGTCATTTGTGTTCTGAGTTTGTGGGTCAGCACAAAGTCAAAGTCCTACAGTTCTAACATCCAGCAGGCTTGGCAGCAGTTGAGCTTCTGAGGCACCTGGAAGTACTAGAGATTAAGGTGATCACTCCAAATCTCAAACTTCTGTACAGCACTGAGAAGATATTGATGCCACTCCTCTAGGGAACAGACAATTGTGAGGAGTTCCTTGTCATAGATAGGGTAGTTCTGTTCTGTTACAGAGAGGGATTCTGATTGGAACACTATCAGACACTACTTTCTGTCAATAAACTAGGACAGTACTACTCTATTTGCAAAGTCAGAAGAGTTGGCTTCAACTCAGAACTTGTCTGTAACTGTTGGAACTGCTAATACAGGCTCACTGGTGATGGCCTGCTTGAGGGACTCAAACACAGACTGCTGCTGATCATCCTATTACCAAGGAACATCCTTGCTGGTGAGATTGTGAAGGGGCTGGGCAATAGTACTGAAGCCTTGAATGAAGTGTTAGTAGTAGTTTGCAAACCCAAGGAACACTTGGACCTGTTTCAGGTTCTAAGGTTGCAGCCAGTTCCAAACTGTAGTCACCTTTGCTGGATCCATACAGACCTCTCCTCCACCAATCACAAAGCCTAGATAATCCACTGACTCCTGTGCAAAAGAGCACTTTGCTTCTTAGAGGAACAGTTTATTATCTTGGAGCTGTTGTAGAACTGCTCAGATCAGTCAGTAATAGTGCTCAACTGTCTGGGTGAAGATCAGAATGTTGTCCAGATACACACTAACATGCTCTGAGTCAATCAGATCTGCAAGGATGTGATTCATGAATGACTGGAATGTTGCAGGCAAGTTGGTTAGTCTGAAGAACATTACAGTTGGTTTGTACAATCTGTAATTGGTTTAGAACACAGCCTTCCACTCATCTCTGTCTCAGATCCAAATATTATTGTATCCCTATCAAACGTCCAACTTAGTGAAAACCCTGGATGTATGTGTCTTATCAATGAGCTCCTGAATCAGGGGGAGCAGGTACTTGTTTTTGACAGTACCCTCATTGAGACAACAATAATCCTAGACTGGGCAGAGCTTCCCATCTTTCTTTTTGACAAAGAAGAAAGGGGAGGCCATAGGGGATTTCAAGGGTTGGATCTGACTGTTCTGAAGATTTTCCCAAAGGAACTTGTTGAGCACCTCCTACTTGTCTCTGTTGAGCAGGTAGACCTTGCAATCCTTAGGTTGGAAACCCTTGGTCAATTCAATTGTATAGTCCTAGGGACAGTGTTTAGGAAGCT